CCCCCCAAAAAAAACAAAAAATAATTCTAATTCAGAACATTGTATGTAAATCTTTTGGATTACTTGTCAATAAACAAGATAAAACAAAAAAACTTAGAGGTGTTTTGCACAAAAGCTGATTGAAATAAATGACTCCCTATTTAAAAGGAATCAAACTGTGAAACATGATTTTTTTTATTGTAAGAGAATATGCCACTCAACTGTACACTTTGTACTTTTTAAGTAATACACAAAGTTTTAAAAACTGGAGGAATGCAAAAGATCTTTTCAACATGAATTAACAGCTCCAGAAAATAAAAAGGACTGTTGAGTTTTCCTGCCTGAGCTTTGAATTCATCTGTGAAGAAGTGAGCATGCTGGAAGTGTTGCTCCAGGCACAAAGATCAAGTTCAACAGAGCAGGAAAAGAATCATTACGTTATGTGGACCTGCAAAGTGCTCGCTGTAATTTCTTATTCCAACTTCGTTCTCAAATAAACATGTCCACACATGTAGCCCCTTACTAAAACACACAGAGACCAGTCAAGATATGGAAATTAGTCACTTGTAAAAACATTGACTGAGCCGAGACGTAGAAACTTGTGAATAAACAGACTTAGGAAAAAGAGCACCTTAAACATTGTGTGTGTGTGTGTGTTATCTTGTAAGGTCCATTTTTCCAACATATATTACATTGTGAGGACCAGCTGCTCCTTATGGACTCCATAAGAAGAAAGACACGTTGGTGGGTTAGGGGTTAGGTTAAGGACTAAGATCTGAATTGAGGATGGGTTAGGTTTACTAGTAATGGTTAGGTATGTACTGGTAATGATTAGGTTTACAGGTTTACACATCTCTCTTGTAAATGAGTCTTTGAGGTGCAACGAGACTAACCTGTATAAATAAAGGTTGAATGAAAAAAGGGTCAGGGTTAGGCTATAGAAATGAATGAAAAATGAATGGAAGTCAATACAAATGGACTGCACCTATACAGCGCCTTTCTGTCTGTTCAAGACACTCAAAGCTCTTTACAACAATCTGTGCCTCATTTACCCATTCATACAGCTCTATACTAGATCTCTACAAAGATAATGAACAAATCATTCTAATGAGACAGAGATTTATCACATTCAGACACTGATGGGACACACATCAGAGGCTATGAGGGGTTCAGTGTCTTGCCCAGGGACACTTCAGCATGTGACTACAGGTGGAATCGAACTGCCAACTCTTGCATTGGAGGACGACTGCTCTAACCACTCAGCCACAGCCGCCCCTAACTAAGCAAAGTTCCTGTAAAGATAGAAAGACAAATGTGCATGTGTATGTGTGTGCGCACACGTGCACAAAACAATAGTTGTGCTGCTTTGCATGAACTTTAAAAGAAAAATGAAAAAAGAAAATGCATTCATACAGGTGACAAATAAAAGCTAAGCCAAGGATATGACAAACAAAAATTGAAAATGTGTCGATATAAAACAAGTAATCCATCCATCCATCCATCCATCCATCCATCCATCCATCCATCCATCCATACATCCATCTTCTTTACCCCCCACCCCCCTTTTTTTGTGAAAGGTTTCGGGGAGCTGGTGTCTATTTCCAGTAGTCAATGTGAGAAGTGGGGCACACCTGGACAGGTCTCCAGTCCATCACAGGGACACATAGAGACAAACAACCATTCACTCTCTCACTCACACCTAGGGACAATTCAGAGTTACCAATCAGTCTAACATGTTAGGAAAGAGAGTAAAAATGACTTATTTACAGTGCTGTTTCTACAAGTAACTCATCCACGATTCCACTTGTTATTTACAATACAATGTGAGGATCTAACAAAGTTAAATCTGGTCCTCTGGACATTCAAAAAACAAAACAAACAAAAAATATAGAAAAGTTTCGTCTCTCATCCTGAGGACTTCCTCAGTCTGAGGAGCTGTATTCAGCTCAGTCTTATAAATAGCACCTTCTCAGAGTGGATCAACCAGTTTGCTGCTGACAACCAGAACCAGCTGCTCACATGCTCAAGAAGGACCATCAGCCTAACAATGGATCATTAGCACCTGATGGCTGTTTA